CTGTCGGTAGACACTTTAATTTCTTTCTGTATTATCTTTCTTAAAACGACGTTTAGCTTTGTTAAACTTTATTTTTCTTGCCTTTTTACATTCATTTCCGAACCATGGTTTATCAGTTTGACTACTGTACACAGCTTTGCCTCTGCAGCTTCTAAAATACTGCATGCGCAGCGCCAGTTAGCACGTGTGCTATGCTGTCTCAAAGATTGTAGACGGAAAATGGGCCAGAACTTTGGAAACGCGCCGCGTGGGCTGACTGGGTGAGTTATTTATTTGTTCGACATCAATACTTTGGCGGAATAAGTCAGTCTTGTTGCTATCACTTCTCCATTTCCTTATGTATGCTGGTTGGTTGGGTGGGGTCCGGGTTTTCTAAGTTAGGTTTTGTCACAGTGAACGTGAGTGGAAATGTACATCTGAGAAATTCGGGGAGAACTCCTATTTATCAAATGATTATGAAAAGGGGTAGGCACATAGGAGACGTAATGACATAATCAATTACAGGTTGGTCCTTACCTGATGTTTTTCCACTTAGTCTATCTAGTCAATTTAGTCACTGGCCACTGGCGTTCCCATTTTGCTGATTCTTAGCGAGCTTTGATTAGTATATTTGTCTTTATCACCTCCCCAATGACGTTAAACTGCAAATCACACGTTGAGGCCTATCCTATTCGACATGGTTATATATGACTCGAGACCCGTGAAGATCCAGGCTCGCTGACGTAGTTGATGGAGGTCATCGTATCCCAATTGCGTACATTGATTCTCATGATGACAATCACTGGGTTGTCTGGTCAGACTCGATTCTTTACAGACCGCCGCTATAGAGCTGGAATATTGCTGAGTGCGGCGTCAAACATCAAAGAACAACCGCTTTAAGAAAACCAGTCTTAGTAAAAGATTTGCTCATGCTCAAAATAAGAAATTGCTTCCTGAAAACAACAAACAAACAACATAACATAGCGACGGGTAGCAACGAAGACCCTGCTTTGACATATTCAGACCATTAAGAAACAGTTACAGCATCGTTCCGGAAAGTAAAGAAAGTTTATTTTTTCTAAAATTGATGATCAAATCTATAATAACCGAAGTGGGTGAGTATGGTTTCACGCCGCTTTTAGCAATATTCCAGCAATATTGACTCGAATTTGCGTCTTTGTCGTGACGAACGAAAGCTTTAACCGCGAGGCTACCCCACCGCCCCAATTTCTGAAATAGTGAAACGTGGTGGCGTCTACTGAAAAACCCCACTATTTAAACAGCTAAAATGGAGCTAATATGTTTCTCTCCATATTAATAATAGCCATAAAATTTATGCCGATAACAACTCCCTCGCAGATGGGATGAATGGATGAACGATACGGTTCCCTGCCCAAGAACGCCAAACAGAAAGAGGCAACCAGGTATACTTAAACGATATTGTCCTTGCCAAATACCATGCGATGAAGTCAAGGAGCTGTTGTACCCGTGTATCAGCAATAAGGTTCTGCGCATCACCATTGAGTTATTCACTTACACACTTTTAAAATAAGTATGTTGTTTCATAGAATCCCTGACATATCGAAAGAGGCCTCCTTCATTCCTATTCACAAAAAGAACAGTATTAGTGCATTTGAATTACTTCAGAGATAACAACACGCTTCGAAACTTACGGCGGCACGGGTGGCCCAGTCGTCTAAGACGCCGCGATTCGCTGTGCAGCGTTGGGTACCTTTGGGCACGCCAGAAACCTATGATTGTGTGTTCGAATCCCGGTTCACCCCGATTATGTTTCTAGGTTTGTCAGCACCATACCCGTGCTCGTGGGTTTCACCCAAGTGGTAAACGTCTGAGACCTGCATCACTTCGGGCTTTCCTCCCAGTTAAGAAGTTAACGATGAAGACACATGTGATATGGTAGTCATTTTCCATTCTTGCAATGATGTTGTGCTCGTGGTATGCTGGATCATCTTCCCGAGACAAGGGAGTTAACAGGCTATATTAGTTCAGTTACACTCTACTACTATACTATGACACACAACCCCAATTCTCAACTCTATGGCAATTCCTTAGACACCACAAAGACTAATCCAAGAATCTTGACATTTGTTCATAATTATATGAAATAGGCGAAACTATTGATAATTGATCAGTAAACAAGATTTATAATTTATTACTCGGACCAACACACATTCGTCATATCTACAAGTTATGGCACCTTGAATGTATTTGCATTTGTGATGTAGCGGTATTTATAGTCGTACCAATCTAAACCAGCATAACTGACTGAAATCCAAATATGTTTAACCATATCTGTCCTTGTTTGTTGATGTGAAAACTTAATTAGGGCCTTTGCACAAGCAATGAACGAGGCAGGATGGCCTCAGGTTTTCGCGAACACCCGGTATTTGACAGTTATTTCATTAACAAGTGATTATGATACAGTGGGAATCATACAATGGAGATCTGATTTCTTCTGATTGATGCGACTGTAGTGTACATATATAAAATGGGTATATACAATTTGTTAATACTCTTCATGAAAGGGGCATAGGCGGCCATCTTGTTGAATCTGAAACGCGTAACCTGTATATCTTTTCGAACTGGAGTCCCCATTCAAAGCTCACTTTGGATGAAATAAAGTTTAAGATTTGCTTGTTCGGGGACTCTTTGTTATGATCCCTTGATGTTGTTTACAAATTTATTTGAACTCTGTAGGAGGGTGGCTTAAGAGGTGCTAAAAACACGCAATGCCCAAGATGGAACTTCATCGGGAAAGGTTGTAACAAACACCAATTTCTCCTGCGTGTATGGGTATCCATGGTAGCTGGTTGCTATGTGATAAGCTAGAGGGATGACAAGATATTTTATCTTGACAGAAACAAACAACTCCATATAAATTGAAAAAGAGCCACGGCGAGATGGGAGATTCATTACCTGTGGAAAATCTGGGATATTCCTTTAGCTGACTTACTTTGCTTAAGCTACAGCTTTAAGTAAGGTCTGGGTTGAATGGAAAATAATATGGTTCAGGGACTGTAAGACCGACTATGATTTGCCACTGTGCCAGCATTAAACAGAATAGGCGCCGGGCCTCCAATACAGTGAGTGAGTGAGTTGGGTTTAACGCCGCTTTTAACATTATTCCAGTTATATTGAAGCGTGTCAGCTTAATGTGGGAGGAAAGCCCGAAATGATGCAGGTCTTAGACGTTTACTACTTTTGTGAAGCCCAAGAGCACGGGTATGTTGTTGACAAACCTTGAAACTTAATCGGGGTGAACCAGGATTCGAACCCAAAATATAGGTTTCTGGCGTGCCCAAGGGACGCAACTCTGCACAGCGAATCGTGGCGCTTTAGACGACTGGGCCACCCGTGCCCCCTGGCTTCAGAAGAATAAACATGACAATAAAAATATGTTCTAATATCCGACTGAACAACTGTTCACAGTCAAACACCGTTGTGTCGAAGTAAAAGCTTGGTCCCTGCGTTTTCCTTCTTTATTCATTATTAGTTGTGTCGAACCTCGGATAGCTCGAAGTATTTACCTAGGTCCTTTCAATTTCGAAGCAACATTTGCCTGTATATGAAGGTTTATTTCAACCGACCCAGCTATGTGAGATAAGAAAATGGAAAAAGGAAACGAATTGAAAAAATAAATTACGATAAACCCCAAAAGAGAATTCGAAGAAAAAACAGCCCAGAAAGCTAAATACTAATTAGGTCTTCAGCAACCCATGCTTGCCGTAAAATGCGACTATACTTGTCGTGAGAGGCGACTAACGGGATCGGGGCACCGTTCCACAAAGGGATCTTAGTGCTACGACGACCGTCAGTCAGTGTTAAAGTATGGGAGTTATGATCACCTTAGCGCTAAAATGGCTTTATGGAACGGGGCCCGGGTGGTCAGGCTCGTTGACTTGGTTGATGCATGTCATCATATCCAAATTGCGTGGATCGATGCTCATGATGACACCCACTGGATTGTCTGGTCCAGACTCGATTATTTACAGACACGGGCATATAGCTGGAATATTGCTGAGTGCGGCGTCAAACATAAAAGAACAACAGGTTTAAGAAAACCAGTCTTAGTAAAAGATTTGCTCATGCTCAAAATAAGAAATTGCTTCCTGAAAACAACAAACAAACAACATAACATAGCAAAAAGTGGCAACAAAGACTCTGCTTTGACGTATTGAGACTATTAAGAAATAGTTATAGCCTCGTTCCGGAAAGTAAAGAAAGTTTATTTTTTCTTAAATTGATGATCAAATCTATAATAACCGAAGTGAGTGAGTGCGTATAGTTTTACGCCGCTTTTAGCAATATTCCAGGAATATCGAATCGAATCTGCGTCTTTGGTGTGACGAACGAAAGCTTCAACCGCGAGGCTACCCCGATTACTGTAGGAGTGAAACGTAGAAGTGTCTACTGAAAAAAACCTATTTAAACAGCTAAAACGGAGCTAAGATATTTCCTTCAATATTGATAATAACCGTAATATTTATGAGATAACAAATCCCTCGCAGATGGGATGAATGGATGAACGATACGGTTCCCTGCCCAAGAACGCCAAACAGAAAGAGGCAACCAGGTATACCTAAACGATATTGTCCTTGTCAAATACCATGTGATGAAGTCAAGGAGCTGTTGTGCCTGTGTATCAGCAATAAGGTTCTGCGCATCACCATTGTGTTATTCACTTACACACTTTTAAAATAAATATGTTGTTTCATAGAATCCCTGACATATCGAAAGAGGCTTTAGAGAAAACAACACGCTTCCAAATTTACGTCATTTTCAGCCTATCGCTGGTGTAATTCTAGCAAAGCCCGCGTTGATCAACCCTTTGACATGTGTGAGTTTGAATGTTGGTTTATGTCTTAGCAGTGAACCCTTCACAGTTTGCCCAGATGGGATAAATAGGGTTGAGCCCACAACGTCTGACTGGCGTACTGTTTTATACTTTACTGGTTTCTTATTCAGGCGAATTTTCTCCATGAGTTTAACTTTCGTTTCAGATGGTCTGAAGTGGACATTGCAAGACGTCAGATATTCCTGCATGGTCTTTAGACTACTCATGGTTGGCACGACAGTATCTGGTTCCCGGAGGTTATGATCACTGGGGGTATCCATGACAGTGACACCGGGGTTGTTCGGACAGGGCAGTAGCTGTTGTTCCAACCAGTCTATGAAAACTATTCATTTCCATTTGATAATAAAGTCCTGGGTGTGTCTTTGGACAACCCCTACATTCTTTGTTATATTTACCGAAAAGTAGACTTGTTGGTATGAAAGTCCGGGTAATTCGGTTTGGTAGCTCGGTGATACATCCTGTCTAAACTACTAAATAGTTTCTCTCTCAAGTGTGAAGGACTTGTATACATTTCCTACTACAAACTCAGTGTCGTGTACCATGGCTATGTCTATGCAAGTGTAATGCAAAATGCAACATTGGAAATAGTGATGATGATGATGATGATGGTGATGATGATGATGATGATGATGATGATGATGATGTACCGACTGGGAGGTACCAAACCTAAGGTACCGAGAACAATGAGTATTATTATTATGGAGTCACATGCGCATATTTCCATAGTCCGTTTCAAAATTCCCTCACTGTTCTAAATCTGAACTTGATGTTTTCGTTCGATTTCTTCTAATGTAAATTTGTCGATTGGACTTCCTGTGACTAAAATATTCTGAACCGCAAAAGAAACGTCACCATGGATAGATATATAAGAAACCGTATTTGTCCAAACACTGTAAACATACTTTGAGACATATTAAAAAGATGAAACTTGGCAAAACTGATCATCAAGGTTGAAATTAAAGTGTCAAATGTTCTTAAAATGAAACACAACACCAGTCTCTGAGAAAATGGCATCACAAGTCAGTATCTCGTGTGTCCACCATGTGCATTGATGACTGCCGTGCAAGGTCGATACATGGAATGGATGAGGCGGTTGATGAAGGCCATGGGCACTTGAGCCCACACTCTGAGGAACGGCTGACGCAGTTCAGCTGCAGTTGTCGGCCTTGGTCGGACGCCATTCAGTCGTCTTTGAATCTCGTCCCACAGGTGCTCAATGGGATTTCAATCGGGCGTTATCATGCTGAAATTCGTGGTTGCAGCGACGTGCCAAATGAGGTACGGCGTGTGGTCTCAAGACTTGACCGGTTCTGGAAGACCACAGGGTCGACCCTCTGTGCAAGACCAATTCCATCCCACACCATGATGCTCGGACCACCCTAGTCCTGCACCATGACCGTGGAAAATATTTATTTTATGAAAAACAGATTTTATGAGTCAAGGAGGAAATTGTGTAATATAAGATTTCAGAGACTAAATGTTAGTCTAGGACCACCCCACGAGACTCAGTGTCGTGTACCATGGCTATGTCTATGCAAGTGTAATGCAATAGTGATGATGATGATGATGATGATGATGAAGATGATGATGATGATGATGTACAGATTAAAATACAGAAATGCAGCAAGGAGGGTTTGGGTGATGAGTAACCAGGTCAGGTTGGTTAGGCTCATCTTCAGTTCAGGGCCCTTGCCCCCTCTACACGCAGCCCAGACAGCGAATGGGACTTCTCCCAGGAAGCGCTGCCTGGTCAAACCCACCCAGACCTTTTCGGAGAATGTGAATACTCCCCAACACTGCAGCCTTCTGCATTACCCAGATGGTCAGAATGGCTGTATCCCTGGTAGCAAAACCGGGTACTCTCCCAATGCCAGTCAACAGACTGGGAGGTACCAAACCTAAGGTACCGAGAACAATGAGTATTATTATTATGGAGTCACATGCGCATATTTCTATAGTCCGTTTCAAAATTCCCTCACTGTTCTAAATCTGAACTTGCTGTTTTCGTTCGATTTCTTCTAATGTAAATTTGTCGACTGGACTTCCTGTGACTAAAATATTCTGAACCGCAAAAGAAACGTCACCATGGATAGATATATAAGAAACCGTATTTGTCCAAACACTGTAAACATACTTTGAGACATATTAAAAAGATGAAACTTGGCAAAACTGATCATCAAGGTTGAAATTAAAGTGTCAAATGTTCTTAAAATGAAACACAACACCAGTCTCTGAGAAAATGGCATCACAAGTCAGTATCTCGTGTGTCCGCCATGTGCATTGATGACTGTCGTGCAACGTCGATACATGGAATGGATGAGGCGGTTGATGAAGGCCATGGGCACTTGAGCCCACACTCTGAGGAACGGCTGACGCAGTTCAGCTGCAGTTGTCGGCCTTGGTCGGACGCCATTCAGTCGTCTTTGAATCTCGTCCCACAGGTGCTCAATGGGATTTCAATCGGGCGTTATCATGCTGAAATTCGTGGTTATGCGACGTGCCAAATGAGGTACGGCGTGTGGTCTCAAGACTTGACCGGTTCTGGAAGACCACAGGGTCGACCCTCTGTGCAAGACCAATTCCATCTCACGCCATGATGCTCGGACCACCCTAGTCCTGCACCATGACCGTGGAAAATCAAGGAGGATATTGTGTAATATAAGATTTCAGAGACTAAATGTTAGTCTAGGACCACCCCACGAGTCTCTTTCAACAACACAAGCTTCCGAATGACGTTCCCCACGACGTCGCCAGACTCTCTCTCTCTCTCTGCCATCTGCTTGTGAGATACAGTAACGGCTCTCGTCTGAGAAGAGGACTCTTCTCAACTGCTGGTGACGCAAATGCTGGTGCTGTGTTGCCCACTGAAGACGGTCCCGGCGATGACGTGACAGAATGGGTCCTCGATGTGGCCTGTGACAATCGTCGACGCACGGTGTCCGCACTTATGTGTCGCTGGTGTCCCCATGGTCTGTCGAGCAGTTTCTGCAGCAGTAACAAAGCGATCTTGAAGATGCTGTCGCACAATCTGACGATCCTGACGTCAGGTGGTGACCTTGTTCTTCCACTACGTGGTCGGCCATCTGTAGTGTTGGTGGTCTGGAGCCTGTATATGGTCCTTACGTGGACTTGAAATGCATTGGCTACGTGCCGGGCGGATTGTCCAGCTTTGCAATCGTCCAAGGGCTGATTTCGTGTCAATCTTGGCATGTGGTAGCAATTTAATAACGAATGAATGTTATCCGATCTGCCTGGATTTGTATAGGGGGAAAAATGGAGGAACGCATGCGCATTTCAATTTGCTCGGAACTCACGTGCATAGGGTTACCATGGCCGTTGCCGTGATGCGTTTAGGCGATCAGTTTTATTGTCATTTGCTTTGTTTTTTTATCATCAAATTTCATTTCCCCGGACAATGTAATGTTAAATTTTAGAAACTTTGATAAAAGTACCCAGATATTTAACTGACAACTTTTCACATAGTGTTACTTGGGATGACGTTTCTTTTGCGGTTCAGTATATTTTATACCACAGATAGTTAGATCAATAGCAACAGTCTGCAAAAATGTTTGTCCTGTTTCTTTAACGGGCAAAACGCATTTTTTCTAGCAATTCCGTTTTTTTTTTGACATAGGGTCCCCATTCAAAGTTCACACATGGCTCCTTGTTATTTAGGAATTCGTTTGAACTCTGTTGGATGGTAATTGAAGAGGTGCTGAAACGTGCAATTTTTCGGGATCGGTTGAAGTAAACATCACCTTCCCCTTCGTGTTTTTGTATCGATGGTAGCTGGTTGCCATGGCATGCGGACACACATGGCGAAAATTAGAAGGGAGTGACCAACTAGTTCCGCACGGACTGTCTCAGGCGTTGCCCATTGGTGGAGAAAGAACGTCAGGACAGTTGGAGGTGTGAAAAATACACAATTTTATAAACGTTCTATTTCAATCCTCTCCGACGTCTTCCACGCTTCAAATATTTATTAGGCATTACGAACAGTGGGGTTTGCCCAAAATAGATATGAAACTGTCTCCCACTGTAAAAGCTCCCTATAAAAGCCCAGACACTCTATGCAACGTTATTTCTGTAGAAGCATCCATTCGATTAGTTTGGTTCCTGGACTCGGAACAGAAGCTCCTGGTAGTTCTATAATAGTACAAGAACGCTTTGTAGCTATAGTCTCGGCCATGGCAGCTGCTCATTCCAACCAAACCTTCAAGATCGTTGTCCTGGGTGCTCCTGGAGTTGGGAAGAGCACCATCATCTCCCAGTTCCTGCACCGGAAGTTCCTTGAGTTACACTGGTTCACCATCGAGCTGGAACAACAGACAACTTTGATCGGTAAGGAAGGACGACAAGTCTCCCTCGAGATCGTGGACACACCAGGTGGATACTGCTTTGGGGCAAGAAGAAGGATTGCAATTGAGTCGGGTGATGCATTTATTCTTGTATTCTCTTTGGAAGATGATTGCTCGTTTGAGACAGTAGCCATGATCAGGGAGGATATCCTTCGTATCAAGAGGAAGAATAAAGTTCCGATCCTTTTGGTAGGAAACAAGACTGACATTGAGGATGATCAAAGAATCACGGGGCAAACTGGTGCTGAACGTTTTGCCAAGAAAGAATGGAACACCAAGTACGTTGAGGCTTGTGGCAAGGACCACAGCAGTGTGAGACGGGTGTTTCAGAAGCTGCTCAAACTGGCAAAGATTAAGGTCGAACTAAGCTCCCATGAACAAGGGGAAACGCGAAGGTTTACCTTCCCTGGAAGCGTGAAGCGAAAACTTAGGGCCATTGGTGAGAGACGAAGTTCTGTTGCATAGTTATTTCATATGTTGTATAAATTGGTATTTTGGTGCATAATTAAATAATTATGATGCTGTAAGACTTGAAAATCAACTTAATAAATCTTTTTCTATCATTTTGTTGTCTCTTTTCAGTACATGCGATATCGTGTGACTGGATTTCTGGTCGATCACCTGATTATCTGATTATTTTATGTGCAGCTGTCGCATGGCAGGAGAAGGGCTGTGCGGTGTGAGGCAGCAAACGCATACATTACTTCTACAATTGAGGGAGTGGTGGGTGTTCAGGACATGCTTACCATATTCCCGAAGACCGCCTCCGTGGTCTTGTGGTAGAGCGCCCGCCCGTAGAGCGGAAGGTCCGGGGTTCGATCCCCGGCCGCGCCATACCA